GGGCTGGATCAGATGTTTTTTTAAAAAGACTGTTGTAAACGTTGCCTCTCATGCCTTTTTTGTACTCGGACTGTTTCGAAGTGTTCACTGCAATGTGATCCCCAGGGTGATTTGGGAAAAGCTTTCTACGTCCTAGGAGGCCGAGATCCCATGGAGCCGGCCTGAAGTTGAGAGCGGAAATCGCCAAGAAGATAACCCTAGAAGAGACACAAAGAATCTCTGTCTCTTGGAACCGAGAACCATATCTCTCTCTTTTTCCCTGTGCCGCTCCTTGATGAATACAGAGCAGGCAGGCTCTCTGGCTTGCAAGAATTAATTCGCCAAAAACTGCAGCGAGTTTTCTAAGGCAGAGTTTATTCAAGATCTATAGACATTGAAATATCGATACATAAAGTTAAACTCGTAATAACAACCAAAAAAGTTAAGGAATGCGTTCAGAATTCCAATTTAATCCCCAAGTTAAAACTGCTCACTGCACTCTCAAATAACACACAAACACGGTACAAATAAATATACACCGGCGTCCTTCATTCAGACAGTTTTGTTTGAAAAAATATTGAATTGATTTTCATTTGACAAAGGTTCAGTCTTTTCAATATGAACGTTTTATTGACAATTGGTTTTGGTGAAGAAGTTTAAGTTACATTTTTACTTTTAAAAGTTTTAGAAGGAAGCAGATAGATCTAGACGTTTACAATCCTCAGAAATCGAAACTGACATTCTCAGCAAAGGCTTGTAATTTACTAGGGACTACAAAATTTACCGAATTTGAACTGACTTTCTCCCCAAGAAAAGAAACGGTGGGTTTTTAGAAAACTCAGTTCCAAACAAAATCTAGAAAAATTTGGCATTCATGCAAACACAAGCAAAACAAGCTAAATGGTCCTAATCACATTTAAAAATCTCTTACAAAATAACTTCAACAAGAAAAAAATACTCTTAAGAAATTAGATCAGTTTAATGCTTTCTAGGAGTGACCAATCCAGTTGACATTTCTTTAAAAGCATAAAATATATCATCCTTTGCACAATTAAAATGCAATTGCCTCTAGACTATACAAAATTTTTCATAGCTTTCTAACATCTCTGAACTAAAAACCAAAACAAAGATACACACACACACACCCCCACCACCACCACCAGCAACAACAAATTAACAAAACTCCATTTAAAGTTGCTGATAAAGAAGAAATTTTTTCTCTTGTGTTCTTTTTTTTCTTTTTGGAAAGCTGTCTTTTGTCATCTTTTTTACTACAGTGGTTAAAAAGATTTAAAAATTCACCTGAAATGTTATATCCTTGTGGCTAGCTTGAGTGTATCACAGGATGATTTTTCATGCTTTATAACTTCAAATTGTGGTGCTACGTTTAGATTAGAAAGCCATGGTACCTTTCAACATTTTTGTGGACATGTTTACATAATTAAGTGGCTATTTGAACAGATGGAAGGAAACAAGATAAGCAGTGGCATATATAAAGGTATCAATTATCTGCATATATTTATATGTATATTAATTAAGCAATGTTTGTGTAGAAAATAACACTTATGGGAACACTTTACAGGTTAAAAATTAAAGATATTTTCATTTGATAACGTATTATAATGTTTAGCACGAGGTTTTTCTTTCTTTTTTTTTTTAAGGAACAATTTATGCATCTATATGGCGCTTTCCCCTCTTGGATTTGTCATCTTTTATTTAAGGGTGATCTTTAATCATACATAGGAGGGGCGGAGAGTTTGTATAAATTAAGATGTGATGAAAGCGTACCAAGGCAGATAACGTTCCATTAAAATAAACCCAAATGCTTCCATGGATGCAACCATATTTACTTTATCTGATAGTAATTAGCTAAACCGCCTGGAAGGAAAGCCTATTATTAGTCGAACGCAGCTCGAGGATTTCAAAGATCCCCTTTTCAGGCAAGAGAATGCAAATACCCCAGTAGGGATCGTAACTGGATAAGTGTTGGAACCAGATCCCACACTCTGATAAGTGACTCCCGTGGAGACAACCCCTAGTGGAACTACGGCTCTTGACTTTTCCTGCCAGATAGCCGGGTGCAGCCGGAGGCATAAGGGACAGACGTTGTCGGGGTACAGGCTACAGGCCTGAGAAAGGAAGGCTACCTAAATGGGATTGGCCTTGTGGGGACCCTTGCTAGGAAGCCCGGACACCAGGGAACCAGACCAACTAAAAAGAGCCTGCACAACAACGAGAGGGCAGCTGGAGACAATCCAAACCTCTGCTCTGGGCATGAAACTAAGATCCCCTAGGGACCTAGTAGCAGATAGAAATCTTCCGCGGCGGGCGTGCTCTCCTGAGCGGGGCTGGGGAGAAAAAAGAGGGCGTAGAAGCCGCCTACTAGGCCCCGTCACCTGCCCTTCTCACCGTCCCCTACCCCACCCTTGAGCCTGAACTGCACGTGAATAAAGGAGGCGTGTGGGGCAGCCTGACGAGGATCAACCTGGTCAGGGCTCTCAGGAGAACCTCAGTTATGCCTCGCGCGAGGGCTCCTGGCCGGTAGTGGCTGCACAGGGCTCTGCATGGGCTCTGCTAGTGGAGAGGAGACAACCTTCTGTGTGCACAGAGAGAAAGCGACCTGGTGGGCTCTTTTGGCTGCAGCGGGTTTATGGGCGTTGTCTCGGCGGTTCCGGCGTCTAAGGGGCACTTTATCCAGGTTCTAAGACCCGGATCCTCTGAGCTAAGTTTAGGTAAGGCCTAGAAGCTGGAAAGAACAAAAAGCAAGAGAAATGCAGGCTTAGTTGGAAATGAGAGAGAACGTTAGTTTCGATAGTTTTTGTTTTTTTCTTTTTCCGAATCTTGAAATCACCCAAGAGGTGAAAAATGTTGGGAACCAGAAGGGAGCAGAATCATTCCCCCACCACCACCCACACACAGTTTTGCCTAGGGGTGGGGTGCCCTTTAGGGTGGGGGACTGGAGTTCAGCTTCCTTTCTGTGTGCGCACGGGCCACCAGCAGGCACACACACTCAAGGTCTCCCACCCAATAGGGCCGCACACTTACCCCAATCTTCAGATCTTTGTGCCTGAGTACTTGCGAACCGCAGTCAAGCCAGGCACATTCTTCTCTCTGCAAATCCACGCCTTGGTTTGGAGACACCAGCCTTCTCCGGAGCCATAGATAGTTTCGGAATTTAAAACAGAAAGACACTGGTGCCCCTGTAGCTAAAGAATGGTTGTCCAGGTGCAAGGCCCTTTCCACCGAAGGTCTCTACCCACCACCAGGGGCCTGCCAATCTCCATACTCCCTGGCCCTCGTGCCTCCAGAGGCATCCCAGCTCCCCTGGCGGCCCCAGGGGCTGCCTTCCCGCAACATTTCCGCTGCCTAGTGAAGAGCCCCGCCTCTCCCCCCTCCCGACGGGCTGTTCCTTCTCCCCTCTGCCTTAGTCACCCACTCCTCTTGCAGTTGAGGGACCCCGCATGACAGCTCTCCTCTCTGGTCCCCACTCCCAGCCAGCGGCTGTCGCCACTCGGGGGCGTTATTCACAGTCCCTGCACCTTCCACCAGCCCCTTCCAACTGAGACTGGTCTCTTCCAGCTGGCTATCCTGGCCGCCAAGGAATGGTTGGGGTGGCTGGAGCCAGACGAAAAGCGCCATGGTGCCTGTTTTTTCAAGGCCAGCAGTGCACACGGGGCTTTCCGTGGGCCTTAAAGCAGCACTGTTGCTCCTTACATGATGACAGGCAAAAAGCCTATCCTGCAGTAAGATGGTCCCTACCAGCATGACATTTCCAGAACCTCTGGGGACCCCACAGATTTCCCCAGAAAACAACCAGGGCCTCCAAGAGGCACCAGAAGACATGTGGGTAGAGAAACTGGAAAGGTGCATTGGAGAGTCAAGGCCTAGACTCAGGCTCAGGATTTCAACAGGCGGAAAAAACACAGGCCACCACTAAGTCACCTCCCTTGTAAGGACAGATCCTGTTCTCGAAACCCTATAATGCAAACCCAGTGTGTGCTCAATTCCAGCCACTTCACCACTGGTACAGTCTATAAACACTGCTTGACTTCTGATGCAGAATAGCCACAGCTGACACAAACTGGGCGCTTAACAGTGGGCAGGCCCTGGCTAAGCTCCTGGCATGTTTCGCTTCCTTTAACCCTAGCAACAACCTTGAGGAAGGTATGATTGTCTCCTTGTTATAGGTAAGGAATGCCCATGGCCACACTAGCCTGTGGATTAGAACCAAGAGCCGTCAAACACCGAAGTTTAGTAATAATGCCTTGATTCTCTTTCATATACCTGCTCTGTGCAGCCTCAGTTGCAAGAGTTACAAGGGCAAATGCAGCTAGCACTCTGCCCTAACCAGGGCGACCAGGTAGGCACACACAGCTATAGAACTAAGTGGGAAATGATAAGTGACACGGGCTGCAACTTCAGAGATGAGAGAGAGAGAGAGAGGACTTCCGGCTAGGCGATCAGGGAGCGCGTCCTTGGAGGAGACAATATTTGAGCAGTGTCTTGGTAAATAGCTTTCAGCTGATGGAGACAGGGGCGGGAAAGATGTTCCAGGTGGAGAGACCAGCTTAAGCAAAGGCAACAAGGCGGAAACTGACATCCACAGGTAGATAAAACATTCCATCTCCTTGCGGATTCAGCGCCCGGTATTTACCGGCCAGGAATTTTTCTGCCGCCGCAGCAACTAGAAAAACCACACTCTTGGGTCATCCTTCCTGGGTGTTCGTTCGTTGACAGCGACGTTCCCAAGACTGGTCCAGGTCGGCAAGGTACAATCAGCCGAGGCAGGAATCAGTGGTTCAATCACCTGGGTCAATGCAGCCTCACCAGAAACCACAAGGACTGCCAGGACTCCACACCAACCCGGGTCTATTTCTGGTAGCTCCGCGACCTCCAACTTGGCAAAAGCGGGGGGCGTGGCTCATGTGAGCCACCACCAATGGGGAGGGCAGCTGGGGAGCGGGCACCTCCCCCAGACGTGACGCAAAACCCCCGGACAGAGGCTTCTCAGCCCGGGCCCCAGTCCTTGCAGTGGCTGTAACAAAACCCAGACCCCCAGGTCCCGGCCAATGGAGGCAATTTAGACTGGAGTGGGACCACGTCTGTCAAAAGCCGGACTCCGCAGCAGCGGCAGAGGCCAGAAAGAGAACTGGAGCCGCCGCACTGCCTCCCCGCCCCCGCTGGGATTTATTGAGTATTTGGACTGGACAATTAAGTGGCCCTGATGATGTTACCAAGCCCGGTCACCTCCACCCCTTTCTCAGTCAAAGACATTTTGAATCTGGAGCAGCAGCAGCAGCACTTCCACGGTGCGCACTTGCAGGCAGACTTGGAGCATCACTTCCACTCGGCGCCCTGCATGCTGGCAGCAGCTGAGGGGACGCAATTTTCTGACGGAGGGGAGGAGGACGAGGAAGAAGAGGGCGAGAAATTGTCCTATTTGAACTCACTAGCCTCAACCGACAGCCACGGGGATTCTGGGCTCTGTCCCCAGAGCTATGTCCACACAGTCCTACGAGACTCGTGCAGCAGGCCGAAAGAACTTGAAGAGGAGCCCGAGGTCGTGCGGGACCGGAGCCAAAGTGAGTAGAGGGGGAAAGGAAACGCACTTGCACACCTGGAGCACTGGCGGAGCGCCCGCAAACAGCCCACAAACCTTAAGGGCAAGGCTGTATGTCCCTTTAACCTTTGATTGGGGATATGCCTCATCCCTGGCCAAGAACAATTCTACAAAGTGTAGGTACCTTCGAGGGAGCAGGGGTGGAGAGAGAAGGAAGTGGTGACCCTGACAACTACTCCGGCAGAAGGAGGAGACGATGCAGCCCCTGAGGGAAGGGAAAGTGGTTATTGTTGTCTTGAAGCTGATAGGCAACCCGGGGTTAGCTCTTGAGTCTTAACAACTCACGGTATTTTTGCTGTCCCCCTCTCAACGAGGTATTCCCCCCAAAGGGGTAGAAACCTGAATCTTGTTCACTTTCCTTCTCTTAGACCAGGGCAGCCACCTTCTCTTTTCCAGAAGGACTGCCCAAGCAAGTTGCGTCTCTAGCTTCCGCAGAGGTAGGAACTTTGTAGAGACCAGCTACTTTTTTCTGCTTGGAGCTCAGCTGTCCTTGAACCCTGGCAGAAAGGTAAGGAATGGTAGGATAGTGCATGGGAACACAATCTCTTCTGTGCGACCATAGCTCTCTCTCTCCCCTGAGACACTGGCCTTTTTTGAAAATTGGTGACGTTTTGCTTTGTGTTCTGCGCCCAGTATAGGAAACGCGGTGAACTTAGTCCGAGATCTTGATTGCTCACATCAGACGGGACATGAATTGGGTAGGCAGATAGGATAACCGAATAAAGCTCCCAAGGAAGTGTATCTGCGTGGACAGAATCAAAGAATATCTTTCCCCAAGAGAAGGTTTAATGCAGCAGAGTTCAAGGCCCATCTATGGTCTGACAGCTAAAAATCGGCACGAAACTGTCTAAAACCAGTCAATCAAACCTCTTTTTCTCTGTAAGGTCAAAGATATTGTCATACACATTTGCATGTAGTCATTAATAAGCAAAAAAAAAAAATTTAAAAACAGTCCTTGGGCAACGCACAAGCGTCACTCTCTGAACAAAGATTTTCGAGCAACCCATGCGCATCAGCCCCCTAATATCAACGCGCCTCACACCTTCAGTTATCCATGGTGGAGTGGAAGGCAAATGAGTTTGCAAATACGGTAGTTAATATGTAGTTGCAAGCCTACATTCTGAAAATAGTCATTAGCACGTCGAGCCGCACATTTAATACAGGGTAATCTCTTCTCTCGCAGATGCTCAAGATCTAAATAAAAGCGCACTAACTACCCCTCCCCATGGAACGCGCCTCCACCGGCTGAGGGCGTTCTTTGGGTACTCGGGCTGTCGCAGGGTCCCAAGGCGCCAGGAGCCACAAACCTTCCAAAAAGTCCAGGCATTTACTACCACACGCTCCGCGCCGCCACCAAAAGGGACCAAGGTGCTCCAGAACAGGAGCCGCGGTGAGGCCGAGAACAGCTAAGGGACGCTGTTGTTTTGCTTCTTCCGCAGAAAGCTGCCAGCTGAAGAAGCCTCTAGAGGCTGCCGGAGACTGTAAAGCTGCGGAGGAGAGCGAAAGACCGAAGCCCCGCAGCCGCCGGAAGCCCCGGGTCCTCTTCTCGCAAGCCCAGGTCTTCGAGCTGGAACGCAGGTTCAAGCAGCAGCGGTACCTATCCGCGCCTGAGCGCGAGCATCTCGCCAGCAGCCTGAAGCTCACGTCCACGCAGGTGAAAATCTGGTTCCAGAATCGCAGGTACAAGTGCAAGAGACAGCGGCAGGACAAATCTCTGGAGCTTGGCACACACGCGGCGCCGCCGCCGCCGCGCCGCGTGGCAGTACCAGTGCTAGTGCGGGACGGCAAACCCTGCGTTACGCCCAGCGCGCAGGCCTACGGCGCGCCCTACAGCGTGGGCGCCAGCGCCTACTCCTACAACAGTTTTCCTGCCTACGGCTATGGGAACTCGGCAGCCGCAGCAGCCGCAGCTGCTGCCGCCGCTGCCGCCGCGGCCTACACTGGGAGCTACGGCTGTGCGTACCCGACAGGCGGCGGCGGCGGCGGAAGCGGGGTCTCCGCGGCGACCACCACTATGCAGCCCGCCTGCAGTGCGGCTGGTGGCGGCCCCTTTGTGAACGTGAGCAACCTGGGGGGCTTTGGTGGTGCCGGCGGAGCACAGCCCTTGCACCAGGGCACTGCAGCTGGGGCTGCATGCACTCAGGGCACCTTGCAGGGCATTCGAGCCTGGTAGGAACTGAGCGGGTCACACGGCAGGCGCCCCACCGCAGCCTGGCGCCTTGGACTGAAGCGCGAGAAAGGCCGGACCCAAGGGTCAGGTCTCCTCGTTAAAAAAAAAAAAAAAAAAAAAATACACGTCTTGCTTCCCAGGACTCTGGATCACAGCTCACTAGAGACCTGGGGTGGCGGGTTCTGGGGCGAGGAGGATGCAGGGATCCGGTAGCCTGGATTGTCTATGAGGCAGAAACAGGAGCTGGGCGCTGGGGAGGACAGCAGCCCCCAACCCTGGCAGCGGGCGGTGGGGGTGTGTTTCAGGAGGCTGGGACTCTGGCTGCCGTTTGGTTCTTCCAAAGCGAGAGGGGCTTCTCTCCCCTGGCCTTACCTCGGCCTCTGCTAAGCGTTGGCGGAGAACCCAAGGACAAAAAGTTTTAAAAGCATGAAGGAGAGAAAAATGAGGGTCGTGGTTTGAAAAATACCAGGTCCTGACGATCCTCTGCCCACTTTGCGGGCCTGGAACGCCACGCCACAGTTGATTTTGGCTTCCCAAGTGCCTCCCCGCTACAGCGGATACCTTGGCTCGGACCTCCAGATTGCTGGGCGGGGGACGCGGAAAGAACTCTTCCAGGAAAACCAGGCGAGAGAGATCAAAATTGGGGGCGAGGGGCACTGAACAAATCTGGGACCTGATAGCCCACTGGAGGTGTTACCGGGTTTCCTTTCTGTTTCATATTCTGTATCCAGCACATATTATCTATATGTATAACTATATCGACACACCGTGTACACACACGCTGCCATACACTACAGGAGTCAATAAACAAGGTGCAATATTTCCAAACGGTTGGTCGATTATAGACTTTGCTAGCCCAAAAGAGTGGGGGAAGGATCCCTTAAATAGGGCGGAAAGGAAGAAAAAGGTGTGAGGGGGAAAGCGTTCCTCCGTGGGAGATTACAGGCCTAGTCTCCACTGAGCCAGGCCTCAGGCTGCAAGTCCAGTCTCTCCACGGCTTTGTTCATTAATTTCTATTTGCTTTTGTGGAGAGGACAGGTTGGACACTTGGGGTTGGGGCCCCGGGCTTTGCAATCCTACCAGATTTAACCCAGATGTTTGGATTAGCTGTCTGGACCCACGTTAGGTCAAGGCTGAGACTCTGCCCCACCTAGAGGGTCTCCAGGAAAGGTAAACCTCGCCCCCCGGCCCAACGTAGGCGGCGTGGAGGCGGTTCCTTCGTCGGCTACCGCCCTAGCTACCAGGGCGCCCGGAGGCGCTACCCTGAGCCCGGCAGTGGCTGGGCTCTCCCCCTCTGCCGCCCTCCCTTCTCCCCTGGAGGCCGCGGCTTTATGTGGCTCCTTGTCACTTGCGGAGAATGCCTGTGCAAGGCCTATGCTGCCACACGGCCGATTGTGAGCGTGCCAAGGCGGGTGAATGGAGAGGCCTCAGAGCGCCGCGCCATTGTGGGGCCGGGCCTGGCTGAAAGGCGGCTCCAGGCCGGGAAGGTGCGGAAAGAATGGCTTTTTATTGGAGTCCAGAACAAAAGGTGTGGTAGGAAGGCGAGGTCCCCTGCGTGAACAAAAACCCCAGCGCGTCGGATTGACGTCCCCCCCGAGCTCCCCATTGCTTCTCAGAGCGGGGGCTTTGTGCTGCAGTCTGTTCAACAGAGGGACAGAGAAATGCGCGGGGGTTTTGTTCCCCACTTTTTGTGCACTGGGGGAGGAGGCGGCAAGGGGGACGGGGACTGGGCGGGCAGCAGGGAGGGGCGCGCTGATTAGGCCAGGCCGGCTGGGGCCCTGAGACGTTCAGCGGGAGTCGCCGGCCTGAATGCAGGGTCATTATTGCTACAAGTTTAGCAATTTCGCCCTTACTGGAGGGGGTGGGGCTGCTAGGTTGCTGGGGGCCGCCCGGCTGGGGAGCTAGAGAGACGCGAGGAGGAGGAAGAAAAAGGAGGAAGGAGGGAGGCCGGTCGGCAGGCAAGGGAGCTCCTCCACCCCTCCCTGCCTGCCCCGAGCCCTCTTACCGCCCAGGATGCGACTTGGATACATCCAAAAGGCGGGAGGCCAGGGAAGTGGCGCTTGGGGGGTGGGGAAGACCCTTCTCCTCAGCGTCTCCTGCAGTGGAAAGACCCTGCAGCCCAGCGTGAACTGGTGCACCAGTCTGCTGGTTCCTGAGCACCTCACTCCCTTCTCTCTAGCCTTAGAGCTGGGACACAGCCTGCCATCGCCACGGCCACTACCACCTTGACGTCCCTAAGTCCCCTTCCTAGCGAGCTTGTCTTCTGGAGCTATTATTTTCCCTTTATCTTTGCTTAGTCTAATGGCTACAGAGGAAAGTCTGGTTCCGTACCTTCTCCTCACTATCTGCAGGAGTGAAAGACTCATTCATTTATCCATTCCACTATGTACACTGAGCACTTACTATATACATGACTCACTTGCACTGTTCTGAATGCTTGTGATGGAAGAGAACAAAATCAGTGTCCATAGATACACGGAGTTTATTTTCAGGCATATGCTGAGGGTGCGACAACAATCAAATAAATGTAAAAATAGATTAAGTCTTAAAAAGGAAATCAAACAAAATGCTGGGAGTGGGGTGTCCTTTGGAGTGGATGGTCTGGGAAAACCTGTTGAGGACATTACATTTAAGTTGATGCCTAAATAACAAGAAGGAAGCCCATCCAAACAGGACTTTGCTATCTGAGGCTTCATTCCTCTGCACACACACCTCTCTGTCTGGAATCCCCTTCCACTCTCATCCTTCTAGTGACCTCTTGCTTCTCCTTCAAGGCCAAGCTTCTTTCCTGAACCACCCAAGTAGAGGTAATCATTCCTCATTTGTGCCATCAGAGTGTTAGGTACTTTCCAATATCATAGCATGGTATCCTACAAAGATTTATTTTTCTCACTCCACATGAACTCATAGAAGGCTAGGCTGGCATTTTCCCTCTGGGCTGATACCACAGTAGGAGCTCATGGGGCCAGTTGGGGGATGCCTCTTCCTGGTACTCCAGGGCCTTGCAGATCACCTGGTGCTGTTGAGCAGCAGCCTTGGGTGCTGGCTATAAGAGAAATGCTAAGTCAGACCCTTGGCTCCCCTGAGCCTAGCCAGGACCTCTGGTAATCCACCTCAAACCCAGTAGAAGGTCTTGCCTTCTTTGCCTCATGATGCAGCCTAGGGACATGGCTCCTCCCCCTTTCCACCAATGTTGTATATGACCATACATCACAAAACCTAGGATAAATAGGAGGCTTAGGACTTGCTGAAGACTTTGACACCAGGACACAAAGTTTGGGAATTGGGAAGGACTTGGAGATAGGGAAGAGATAGGTGAAGCTGGAAAACTGGGATGTATGAGATAAATCCAGGACCTGCATCTAAGATTCAGCTCAACTTCCCCTACATTTGCTAGGTACAGAGAATAGTAGATGAGTAAGATCCTGGCTACCACTCTGGCTTCCAGGGAGCCCAGAGGCGCTACCCTGAGCCCGCAGCACTCACTCCCCATGCAGGATTTCTGCACCTGCACTCTAGGAGCTGAAGACTCTGGGAGCTATGGCCCTAGGGTTTCCTAAGTAAGCAACTTTTTTTTCTCCAATCTAGTTCCTTATCCTATTGGGCCTTGGACTCTTGATGCCCCCAACACCAGATCCTCACTTTACTTGCTGGCTTCCTCCCAGCCCACATTGGTCTTCATTCTGCATCCTCTCCTGTTTTGGAAAAGAGATATGTGAGCCTCATAGAGGAAACAGAGCTGATTCTGTGGTTTGGCTTCCGCCAGGTTTGCGTGTCTTGAGATACTTAAAGCCAGCCTGGACTAGCCGATTCCGTACCCTTCTCCAGAGCCTGCAGTTCCCAGGTATAAATAGCTCCCATCAACTCCATCACTTTGTTGAAGGATTTCTGTACTGCTCATTGCTGAGGTTCCAGGGCTGTGACCATTCAAGAGTGAAAACCCTTGACTATAGCTATCTCCTCCTTGGGCTCCCTCCCCATGGAAAAGATTCCCTCCTGGGGCTGCTTCCTCATTAGATTGTCTTGTGAGCCAGGAGGAATTATAAAATGCAGGCTGGCCACAGTGGCTTACACCTATAATCCTAGCACTCAGAGAGACTGAGGCGGGTGGATTGCCTGAGCTCAGGGGTTCAAGACCAGCCTGAGCAAGAGCTAGACCCCCATCTCTAAAAATATATATAGAGTCATTGTGGTGGGTGCCTGTAGTCCCAGCTATTTAGGAGGCAGAGGCAAGAAGATCGCTTGAGCCTAAGGGTTTGAGGTTGTTGTGAGCTATGATGCTGTGGTACTCTACTGAGGGCTATAGAGTGAGACTCTGTCTCAAAAGAGAGAGAGAAAGAGAGAAAGATTATAAAGATCCTGGCAGGGCTCCTAAAGACCCTTGAAACTTTGAGCAGGACAAGTAAGTTGTTCCTCTGGTTTTTGAACATCATGAATGAACTATATGATTTCAAAGATCACTTTTGGCTCAAACTCTTCATGCTTCCCTGGATGAGTGTGTAACTCCTCCCCACTAGTGACTTCTGCTTCAGTAGACTATGGAATAGGTTTTATTTTTATTTTATTTATTTATTTGAGACAGAGCCTCGCTTTGTCATCCTCTGTAGAGTGCCTTAGTATCCTAGCTCACAGCAACCTCAAACTCCTGGGCTCAAGTGATTCTCTGGCCTTAGCCTCCCAAGTAGCTGGGACTACAGGCCCCCACCACAGCACTTGGACATTTTTAGAGATGGGGGGTATTGCTCTAGCTCAGGCTGGTCTCATACTGGTGAGTTCAGGCAATCCCACCTCCTCCCTTGACATCCCAGAGTGCTGGGATTACAGGCATGAGCCAAGAGCCCTGCCTTTATGTGGAATAGGTTTTAAATGGTCAGCACTTTTTTTTCTGCAGAGCCTGACCTGAGGAGTTAAGAGGATGGACTCTGGAGTCAGACTGCCTCCTTTCTATTATAATAATCTTAGAGCCGCCAAACCCAGCAAGAGAGACCTTGAATAAGTTAGAAACATTTCTCCTCTATAAAATGAGTATGGTTAGAGCACCTCTCTTAGGTTTTTAAAAAACTAACAGTAAAATGCACAAATATTAACTGTAGGACTCAGTGACTATTTGTTATGTAAACAGTCGTGTACCAGTGATCTTGACATTGAAAATTAAGTGAGATGATCCCTGTATAATTAGCATAATGCAGGGCCTGGTACTCTTCAGGCCCTGCATCAATGTTATAGGCTAGGCCTGGTGCTAGGCAGGGTGTTCGCTGAGGGCCCAGAACGCTATCCTGCCCTTGAGACATTCCCAAGTCCACGGGGTGAGGAAGGCGAGAGGACAGAGGGGCCACACGAGGATGCAGAAATCCCAACCGCGCGGGGCGCGCGTCGGGACGGAGGCCGGGAGAGCCCTACTGCGTTAAGTTCGAGGTAGGTGGTGCGGGGAGGGGCCTTCGGGGCTTCTACCTGGGCTGCGACTGCGGGATTCCACTGAAGGGGAAGGAAGGTCAAAGAACCGTCCAGGCGGAGCCACAAGTCCACTCTCTCCCATCATGACTGGGAAGAACCGGCTGGGAGGAGAAACCTAGCCCCACTCTGCAAGACTCCTCCTGGGTTCCCCCGGGAGGAGTATCCTGCCGCCCGGCGTCTCCGCCTAGGTGGGGCCGGGTGGGCGGGCGCTTCCCAGGAGAATTGCGCCCGGGAGGCGGGCCGCCTCCCTCTTCGCTCTACAGTTCAGGGCGCCAGAGCGGACTTCCCGGGAGCCTTTCCGAACTGAAAAGCCCGAGCCCCTGAAGGATTGAGACTGTCCGTGGCTGGGCAGAGTTCAGGGGGCGGGCG